TTGCGATCAGGGGTTCGCAATTGCGAACTCTATGAATTTCTGCTGCCTTCGCATTTGCGACCAGTCCCCTCCCAGCTTTTACTTCGCAATTGCGAAGGTTTCTTCGCAAATGCGAAGATTGTTGGCCCAGCTACTCTTCGCAATTGCGATGAGTTACTCGCGATATCGCAATTGCCACACTGGCAGGCCTTGCAATTGCGAACTCTGGTCTCGCAATTGCGAGATCAGAGGCCAACACCAGAACTGAAACCTGCAACAATTTTTCCTAAGTCCAAAACACCCCGTGGCCTATCCAAAACTCACCCGAGCCCTCGGGGCTCCAAACCAAACATGCACACAAGTCTAAAAATATTATACGAACTTGTTCTTGCGATCAAATCGCCAAAATAACATCTTAAACAACGAATTTAACATCAAAACACATGAATTTCACAAGATAGTTCAAATTTTTATTTTCTCAACCAAGGGTCCGATTTATATCAAATCACTTCCGTTTTTCATCAAATTTCACAGATTCGACTTAAATATTATTTTAAAACTGTACCGGGCTCCGGAACCAAAATACGGGCCCGATACCATCAAGGTCACACACCATTTTATTTCCAAAAATCCTTATATTTTCTAGCAAACAACTTTCTTTAAAAATTCTTTTCTCGGGCTAGGGACCTCGGAATTCGATTCGGGCATACGCCCAAGTCCTATATTTTACTACAGACCCTACGGGACCGTCAAATCACGGGTCCGGTTCCGTTTACCAAAAATATTGACCGAAGTCAACTTTAACTAATTTTAAAGGCCAAATTCAATATTTTTCTTAAATTTCATATAAAAGCTTTCCGGCTCGTACTGCGCACGCAAATTGAGGAGAAAGAAAGTGAGGTTTTCAAGGCCTTGGAACCCGGATTCGGGTTCTACAACAAAAGATGACCCTTTGAGTCATCACACTTTATCACCACATTTATGTATAGTATATTATACATATATATACATAGTATATTTATATATACATAGATATAGTATACTAATAATATATAAATATATGCTATAACTATAGTATACTAATAATATATATTTGGTATATGAACATACGAATATAAAAGAATAAATGTTAGTATATATTAATGCTAATATAAATGATATATATTATGTATACTACACATATGTAAATAGATTATATGGTATATTACTTCAAATGTAAAATATATAGTGATCACATATATTAAGTATACTATATGTATATAATATAAATAATATGAGTTAAATATTATTCCAAATATAAAAAGGTATATAAATATTGTGTTTGTGTGTATATATATTTGAGGTAATATTGACTCATAGCTAAGGTACTTGTAAAGAAAAAAAAAACAGAGAAACTTCTTTTGTTGAAAATGGGAGTTTGGTCAAAGCCAATATGCCATTATTATGTATTAAATGACTGAAGTTACACTTTTAAGAATAAAAAAAAAAAAGGAAAAAAAACATACCCTATCAAACGAAGAAGAATGAGATATATATATTGGAATTGAATTGTATATAAGTGGATTTATAGCTCGAAAAGGTAACGAAGGAAAATGAGGTTTTCTGGGAAATAATTGATTGCCAGTTGTATTAATTTCCTTTCTGTTATCCTAAATAAAGAAAATTCCTTATTTTTGGGTGTTTGTTGTTAATAGATTGCATTATTAAGGGATACTTTCAGAATCAGTTTCCTATTATATAAGAAATCTATCGTATTTGAGGGTATAACTTTTATACATTTATCATATTTATGTTGTAGATGTTATTTAACTAATAGTTGCAGATTGTGAAATAATTTTTGATTTCATCAGTAATTATGAAAATTTCCCCTAGTCTTTATTGTAGAAATGACACTACGTAGCCATTCTAAAGGGCTGTTATTTAGGAATTAGTCAGTGCGTCCTGAATTTCAGTTTTTCAGTTCAATTTTTCAGGACAAAAATGTTATGAATTGTCGTGAAGTTAAGATTTTTAGTTTAAAATTTCAGGATAAAATAAATACTGACTAATCTCTGAATAGTTTCCCTGATAATGGCTATCTATGCACTTGCCCCGTCTTTATTTGTACAAGTTTTGCTAGTATGCAGTATATAATCAAGGTATAATCACTAAATAATTAATTAATGAATCTTTTTTTTAGCAATTTGTTTATAAGGTGCATATTTCATTTTGAGAAATTTTACAGCGTTTAATTGGGTAAAAAATAGAAATATCCTGATTTATAACTTAATTGAAAATTGCCCATAGTTTTAAAAGTAATCGAAATATAACCCTTTTTTATGTGAAAATAAAATCTAAACAATGACACCCTCAAAATTCCAGAAAAATTCCAGCATAATATGCCAAAGTTCGACTTATTTACATATTAGATTCCTCCAATATAATATGTTAGAATTCGTAATATGCTAGAGCTCCAACACAATATGTTGGAAGTTTTTATACAGGAGTCCCATAATCCAGCATATTATGCTGGAACTTTCTGTGTTTCAGCTGGGGTACTTTTTCCAGATTTACTCTCCGTGTTAAATCATGGTTACTTTTTAATAACTTTGCAAATACTGACTATTTTTCAATAACAACCCGTAAAAATGGCTATGCATACCATTTTGACTTCATGATTCCAAAAGATTTATTTATAGCTCCTACCCCTTTATACCACAAAAGTTTGCTGTCTAAGGGAACTGATGGAATCTCTTATACACAAATACACAAAAGATTTGGTTCTATCATCACTACTCCTTCCCGTCATTCTTTTTATTAGAAAAATCATCCCTATTCCTTTTATATAAAAGATTTCTATTATAGTGGGAAATCATAATTTCTTTTTAATAGAAAAGAATCACCCCTAATCTTTATTCTAAGGAATCGCTTGGTTGGTGGGATAAAGGATAATAATTTCGAGATAAAATGTAAGATTATTTCATCCCGCATTTGATTATGGGCATTAATGAGTCCCGAAAATCATTTTGTACCAAAATGGTAAGATAGCTATCCATGTAGCCCGTGATTTAGCAGGGTTGGGCTAGAATTTTTGAGGCCCATTTAAAAACGAGGCTTTTAAGCCCGGCCCGAGTAAGCTCGTGGCCCGCGAGGCTTGACTGAGACTGGGCTGGGCCGGCCCGTGGGCCTAATAAAAATATTTATTTAAAATATATAAAATATAAAAAGTATATTGCCTCTAGCGATGGAAAGTCAAAATTAGATCTTTACTTAGATGAATCAAAGCTTGATCTTGAAAAGTTTCAAGAGATGGATGTTGTCATGTATTGGCTGGACCATTCTAGAAAATATCTCGATCTTCAGTGATTGCGCGTGATATACTTAGTATTCCTATTACCATTGTAGCATCAGAATCAACATTTAGCATTAGTGGGCGTGTTCTAACAAAGTACAGAAGTTGCATCCATCATGAAAATGTCCAAACACTTGATACTACTTGAAATTGGTTGCACGACTTTTTTCAAACTCAAATTGATAATATTTTTTTTATGTGAATTTGAATATTATTAGTTTTTAAAATTTAATTATTCTTAATAGTTAACTAATTAATATTGCATATGAATTGTAGATGTAGATGAAAGTGAAAATGTTAAGACAACCTTGTCACAAGCGAATTCAAATGTGTTTGATAAAGATGATCCGTTGGATATCCCATAATCGTCATGGGCGTTCTCTTGAATAGTTTGTTTTGAGTTTTGACTTTTAGTGAATGAAATATAGTCTTTTCTTTTATCTATTTATTGTTTATTGTGATATACTGAAACAATATAAAAAGTTATTAAGTTTGTGAAATTTATTCAATAAGACATTTTTTAACTTTTAAATACTTATCTTTTTTTTTTAGGTTAGAACTTAAAGATAAAATATAAAATTATATTTTAAAAAATGATGGGTCGGCCCGTGGGGGCCTGCGGCCCACATAGGGCTGGGGTGGGCTGACAATTATAAGGCCCATCAAAATGGTGGGCTAGAAAAATTTCCTATGCATTATGGATGGAAAGGAATACACGTATTTTTGAGCAAAGATATCGTAACAGTGAAGTATCAGCACGAGAAATAGCTTATATATGTAATGTTAGAGTAGTTCCTAGAGCTAGAAAACAAATGCAGCAGTTTTTGATAGTAGAGTAACTTAGTTTAGCTGTTCTGTAACTCAGTAGAATAGTTGATGATGAGATAGTCAGCAGAGTTTTATGCTGGACTATGGATTTGTACAGATTGATCTTTGGTGATTAATACAAAAGAAGTTAATTACCAAAAAAAAATGGTGGGCTAGCCCAGCCCAGCCTGTCTATTGCTAAGGCCCACGTGGGTTGGGCTGGGTTGGGCTAACCCGGCCCGGCCCGACCCATATTAACAGCTCTACATGTAGAAGGTGAGATAACTAGTCTCATGGGATATTTCAACCCATAGGATATTCTCGTCTATCTCATCCTGGTATCGTTTGGTACGAGATAAGGACAATAATTTCGGAATAGAATTTCAGATTGTATTAATTTCATGTGTGATTATAAGTATTAACTAATACAAAAAAATTATATTAAAATAGCGAAATAGTAATCCCATAGAATATTTTACCCCATAAGAGATTAAGATTTATCCCACTATTATACTAAATCATCGCTTAGTATCAGAGGCGGATATAGGATTTAAATTTTATGAGTTCAACTTTTAAGGTTTTAACATTGAACTCATTATATTTTAAAAGTTATGGATTTATATCTGCTATTTTATAATTTTAACAAATTTTTATTTTTTTTTACTCCGCATCAAAAGTTATAGGTTGAATTTAATACGTTATTTGCACACTACATCCTAGTATTACAATGGGAATCAGGGAAGTAACACATACCCCTAATAATCACTTGTAAAAAAAAATCCTATCTTTACCTTTGTTTTTTTCCCCAAGAACAAAAAAAAATGAAAATCCAGTTGGTCCCAAAAAACAATAAACCGACCAAAGCATATGTTTTTATGTCCGATTCCTTATTCTTTCCACGTCGGACTTACATCAGACACAACTTCACTTCTGATCGAAAATCTCATATCTGAAATCTAGCTCCAGAAATCTAGCTCTTACCAATGTCTGAAGCAAAATCACAACCACCTTCAACTTCCTCGTCAGGTAACCGTTTCGCACTTTTAATTTTCTTTCTGGGATTTTTCAAACAAATTAGAGTTTGATTTCCATTAACATAGGAATCTCAGTTCAATAAACTTTAATTTAACCCTTTCATTTAACCGAACCATCATTTCTGCATTTTTAATTAATCGAGTTACTGTATATAATAGAGGGTGTTCATGTAAGACGATCTTAGATGATTGGGGCATGTTAAGAGGAGAGGCAGTGCCCCGGTGAGGAGGTATGAGAGGGTAGCGTTGGAGGGCCGATGAAGAGGTAGAGGCAGGCCGAAAAACTATTGGGGAGAGGTGATTAGGCGAGATATGGCGTTGCTCTAGCTGACTGAAGACATGGCTATGGATAGGACGGTGTGGAGGTTGAGAATAAAAGTAGAGGGTTAGGTAGCCGAGTGTTGTCCTTGTTTGTCACAGTAGCTTTGATACATCACTTAGTGTCCTTCGTGTTCTATCCCTAGATTGATGTTATTACTTGTTGCTGCCTTGTTTCGGTTTTCTGATGGCATTACTTAGTGTTAGTTTTGTATTTTCGCTCGGTTGTCAGATTGATTTCCTTGTTATTGCCCCTTCTCTTTTTCCTTCCGGAGCCGAGGGTCTACTGAAAACAACCTCTCTGTCTTTTTAAAGGCAAGGGTAAAGTCTGTGTACACTCTACCCAGTACCCTCCCCAAACCCCACTTGTGGGACTATATTGGGTTTGTTGTTATTGTGGTTGCATGTAATACGAACTTAAAAATAAATTTCGGTTAAAGTTCTTAATACCCAAATCAGTCAAAAACCATAAGTTTATAAGCACCTTTCATTTTGACCAAATTTTTGTTATTTTATAGATAATACTTTCTGTAATAGTATTATTTATTGAATCAAATTTGGACTTAAACATACTGCCAATGATAAGCTCATTTTATTGTAAACATCTTTATGTGTCATTTTAACACAAAAAGAAAGGAAAAATGTTGTCACCAAATACATCAACTGCTTATTATCAGTTTTAGCACTTTTATGCGAACACACTGCTTTTATTTGTAAAATAAAATTAGCTTCAACACTTTAAAAGTGTTTTTCGCACTTGATGCTTACCATCAAAGGTGGAGCCAGGATTTCAAACTTATGGGTTCGGGATTTTAATCCTTTTAAGTTATTGCATTCTAATTAATAATTTGTACATATTCAATGATTTTTTAAGATAAATATAGAGTTTGAACCAAAGCTACGGGTTCGTCCGAACCCGTTCCCCGTACTCTAGCTCCACCCTTGCTTACCATCTACCTTCGATCAATTATGTCAAACGGGCTCATAATATCCTATATATGGTATAGAAGGCATCAAAAAGAGTTTATGAGGTTTTGACTTTGAGTCATTCCGCAGCACTGCCTTCAGTTTTTGGGTTGGCCGCTTAGATTATTTTTCACGGGCCAAACTATTCCATATTTGGTCACTCAACAAATTGTTTTAAGATTTTTGGTTGGAAACCCAAATGCTTTCACATTTCTGTTCATTCGGTACTATGGTTTAAGATATCTGTTGTATAATGGACTGAATTTGATACTCGAATATTGATAGATAAAGATGTAAAGGCGCCTAATGTGTTTGAGAGAGTTAAAGAAGAGTTTGAGGCTATATTGCATAGTGAAAAACACTCACATCACCATCACAGAGAAACTCATGGTTTGCGCGATGATATTGATGAGAACACACCCGTTAGCAATGTGAAAGCACCTAACGTGTTTGAGAGAGCGAAGGAGGAAATCGAGGCTATTGTTCAGGCATTGCATCCGAAAAAGGAAAATCACAGTCATGATTCAACTTCAGATGGAGACAACAGGTTTCAAGAATAGGATTCTCTTGCAAAAACAGAGAATAAATGTTCCTGAGGATTTTTAGTTAGTTAATTTTTGCACTATTTTGTTGATGAATTGCAGGACTCATGGTGCAACGGCCGAGTTGAAGACACATAATCCAGATTCTCTTTCAGGTATGAACTCTATGATCCATCTTTAACGGATTGTTATAAATTCCATGATTCGTGATTATAATCACCTAGCAAGTGATTAATACTTAGACATTTTTTAAGTTGTGACATTTTTGTGTGCGTGTGTAAGCCGAGGGTCTTTTGGGTACAACCTCTCTAATCCACCAGGGTAGGGGTAAGGTTTGCGTACACACTACTCCCCAGACCCCACTTGTAGGATTATAATGGGTTTTTATCGTTGTTGTTATGTGTGTGTGTACCTCCTTTTACTGCCTTTCTTCAAAGTGATTACACTTTTTCCTATTTCATTTAGGGAATTACGTGACAATATTGCACGTATTTCTTTCATTGTCCATTTAGGCTTTATCTGCCTCGGTATAGAATGTTACGAGGAACAGTTTGTCTAATTTCTGGTATTTGGTGATCTTATATTGTAGAAAAGAGCGATAACTGTTTACTTTCAAGGAGAAAAATGGCTTAATTTCAAAACTATTTCATATGAATATTACAGTTTTCCCTTGAACTTCCAATAGCACAAGTCTAAATAAATTTGAACGTGAATCAATGCTTTTCCAAATTCAATACATTCTGATCGAAACTTCTGACTTTTCTGATCTAGATCATAAAATTCATTGAAGAGATGGAGTTTTGGCTGTAATCTAAAGGTATACGTAAGTGTTCCGGTGGCAAAAAGTTTTAGTTGTGGTTAAAAACACTGTTGGACTCTGCCTTCGGGAGGTCTTACTTTCACTTCCATCAAATACTACGAACACAATCAAACCTGACTTGCTTCCTCTTTTTGGTAGAACATTTTCTACGGCGATCTCTATCGGAAACAGCCTCTCTGCCCTATCGGGGTAGGGGTAAGGTCTGCGTACACATTACCCTCCCCATACCCCACTTTGTGGGATTTTACTGGGTAGTTGTTGTTGTTGTTGTATTTTCAATGGCGATCATTTTTGGGGCATTAAGCCGTTTTCTTCCAACCAAATGGAGTCCTAGATTTATTTGAAATTTATTGGCTAGTGGTATCAAATTATTATAAACTATCCGGTATTGCTAAAAAATTTCCTCATTTGGAAACAATTTCAAGAATTGAAAGAATTTTCATGGTGTTTGTTCCATGTATGTAATATGTGTCATTTACTGTAGTTTTTCCCTTCTTTTCTAAAATATATATAAAAAGAACACATCTAACCACTTACCGAAGTTTGCCCTTTCTTTACTTCATACGTATCCTCTACCCAGTGGCGGAACTAAGTCACTAGTAGAGTGACTGGGTTCAAACCGAACCCCCTTTGTCGGAAAATTACACTTTGTAAATAGAGTAAAAATGACCTTTTTTTACTATATGTGAGCTGTTGAATCCCCTTGACATGAAGAAAAATTCAGGTGTACTAGTAAAGGGGGGTTCAAATTGCTTTAGGTCATAGATTCGAATTTCAACTGTGACGTTCTAGAATTTTTTTGAATCCCCTTATATAAATTTTTGGTTCTGCCACGGGCTCTACCAAGTATTCAAAAGTCATCTTTCACATCATATTGTTGGTTAGAAGTTCAAATCCGTGTTCATCCTCTGATCATACTGTGGTTTTGTTTAAGCAGCGAACAAAGAAAAGATGCCTAATCAAAACGAGAGAATCGAGGAAGAGATAGGAGCAGATCTGCGCAGAGAAAAATCGCCACATCTTCATCACAAAGAAACTCATGGAAGGAGTGATGACATTGATGATAATACACCAATTAGTGAAGTTAAAGGTCCAAACATATTCGAACGAGCCAAGGAAGAAATCGAGGCCCTAGTTCACTCAATTCATCCAAAGAAGAAATAATCTGGCATTGCTACTCAACGAAGGAAAACGGATTGGAGATGTTTATCAGAAGAGGTTGACAAATATTTTTTCAGCTCAAGAAACGCACAGAAGTTAGTGTTGTTGCATATAACTGTCGTTGAGATAGACAATTTTTATCTGCGCTTTTATTCATTTTCCAAAATTTTTTACGTACTTTCCATGCAAAAGATTGATTATTGAACTTGCTTATATTTTGGTGTCTTTCATGCAGAAAATATAGGTGCTGAGATGTTTGTTCATGTATGCATTTTTGCTCGTATTATTTTAGGAGCCAGAAATGCTACTGACATGTGGACATTACTATCAATAATGTATTCCACATGCAGATTTCTTTAACAAAGCACCCCAAAAATGTCAATTGGTCCTATGAATAAAGTTCATATATGGAAATCTATACATGAAAAAAACGCATTGAAGCTTTCAATTTGCAACAATTTAAAAATAATGTGACCAGCAAACAAAACTAAGATGAAATGGAAGAGAAATCAAAGAAAAAAAAAAGATATAAGGGGGGGGGGGGGGAGGGGAGAATAGGGCGCGCAGAAATGAAAGAATTACAAGAAAATACACTTGACTTCATACCATAACAAAAAATAGCCCATATTTTTAAATTTTACCTGACCTAGCCCATATTTTGAAAGCACTAGCAAATTCAAAATATGTTTTCTTACAACCATTGCTTCTAAAAGCTATGCAGTTAAATCTATGTTCTCACAACCATTGCTTTTACTCTATTTTCTTCTCACATCTTCTACATATGCTTCAAGGGGCCGTCCGCCATTACTGCTTCTTCCCTGTGTCACCTGGTTGCAATGTAAGAAAATTGAAGATTCAACATTCCACCATTGAAGGCCATTCAAAGCTTTGCTTTCAAAAATAAGATTTTTTGAGTTTATTAGTTGTTTGGATTGGGTGTTATTCCAATTGATTGAAAATATCATACGGAGCTCAAAATTTAAATTTAAAGTGATTTGGAGTAGATTTGAGCAAGTTTTGAGTTAAATTTCAGAAAAAACACAAGGAAGAAGACGAAGTCAGATTTTTGTATAATTATGTATAATCTTGTATAATAGTGTATATGAGTGTATAAACACATCTTATACACTATTATACATTTTTATACACCTTTATACAAGCGCCTATAGACGAACTTCTTCCACGATTTTCAGTTGCAATTCTTGTTCAAAATCAGTCCAAATCTCCATTAAATGACTTCAAATTTTATATATAATCTCCTTATACTATTTCTAACAATTCTAGATAATACCCACTCCAAATTTCTCACAAAATCAAATTCTAAATCTAAACCCACATATTTAAACTTGTTAAAAATCTAATTCACCATCCAAATGGATTTGGTTTGTTGAACTAATATTTGAGTTACACTTATTGATTCGAAAATTAACTTAAACCTTGAGCAATCTTTTTTAAAAATTAAATAGTAATTTTGAGAACCTATTGGAGTTAGATGTTGAATCTTAGCATATTATTTTTGGGCTAATTGGTTGTAAAATGAAATATGTGCTATAAAATTGAAAAGTAAGGATCCCAGTTGTTTTTATGTGAAATTTTCCCCGGAGAGATGGGGGAAATAGGGTTTTGGCTTGAAATATTAAATTTAGATTTCTCACTACTGTGGTCGCAAACCCACTTAAATATTCTTTCATCATTTTAATTTTAACTTTGCGACCGATGTAGTCGCTTTGTTGGTCAACTAATATTTTTGACTTTGTATTGTCCGACCGAATCAGTCGCATAAGTGAAGGCAGAAAATTAGCACGCTATTTTCCCACTGCTTTCGTCGGAATACTAGTCGAATTTTTTTTTTAAAAAGTAATTAAAATTCAGTCTGTTTCCGACTACAACAGTCGCAAAAGTAGTCCCATTATTAGTAACTGCTTCATTTTCGGTCGAAAATTTCAGTCACAAATTAATATTTTTCTAGTAGTGACACTGATATTTAATCAGTAAAAAAGATTATTATTCCTTTATTAGTGATGTATTATTCGTATAGATGAACTTTGCTTCCGGCAAATGAATTTATAAATACTAAAAATAAAGTAAAAAACTTAGTATATATTGATAGTATAAAAAATGGGCAATCCGGTGTATAAGGCATCCCGCGTTCACGCGGGATTCGGGGAAGGGCTGCATCACAAAGGGTATGATGTAGCTAGCCTACCCTATTGCAAGCATTAATAACTGCTTCCACGTCTCGAATCCGCGACCTATAAATCACACAGAGACAACTTTATTATTGCCAGTACGAATTCTTATAATGTCTGTATATATATAACTTAACCTATTTGCTTAAGGAGGTAAAAAGAAGTTTCTTTTTTCCACCTAATTTTAGAATATCCACTCTTTGTTCAATTTTGGCAATCGCATTAATTAATACAACCAACAGAAAAGGGAAAAAAAATACCCTGCTGAATTTTCCTAAAGTTAAACTACTTTGAATCTTTGTATTTTCAATGCCATGGAGTACGAATAATGATATAACAAAAATCTTTGATACATTTTCGATGTCATGAAATTAACCACTAAACTATATTATGTTTTCTTTAAATGATAATAGCTGGTCTCAAATTTATTGCACTAAGAGTTCTAACACGTGCTTACTACAAACAACAAGCTATATAAAATTAATTAGCTAATTTGACTTTTAATCAAGGGTCTCTTTTTGAATTTCGAATGTGATAGAAGTCATGGAAGATCAATTGAAGCTACTGTGAAGAAGAAGATTCTGAGAGAAACTGAGAGAAGAAGAAAACAGACTTCATTTCATTTCAGAAAAATCGTATTCTGTACAAGAAGCTACAGTATTTAACAACCTAACTAACTTTACTCCTAACCGACTTAACTAACTCACTAACTAACTAACTCTAATTAACATTACAATTAAGCTTAACTACAATTAACTATCAACTTGTTACTTAGCTGCTAGCCAACACTCCCCCTCAAGCTGATGATTCAAACAAGTTCTTCAATCCAATTTTGTTCAGCAAGTATTCATGTTGAGCTTTTCCCAGTCCCTTTGTGAGCAAGTCTGCTAGTTGATCTTCTGTATTCACATACTCAGTTTTCAGCAGTCCCTGACTAAGTTTTCTCTCACAAAATGACAGTCTATGTCAATGTGTTTTGTTCTATCATAAAATATTGGATTGGCAGCTATTTGGATTGCTGCTTTGCTATCACATATCAGAGTTCTTGGCAGATCAATCTTGACACATAGTTCACTGAACAGGCTTGTTAACCATGTAACTTCTGCTGCACATGATGCCATACTTCTAAACTCTGCTTCTGCTGAACTTCTGGAGATAGTACTTTGCTTCTTAGACTTCCAGGATATCAGTGCATTGCCAAACTTGACTAAATACCCTGTAACTGATCTCCTTGTCTGTATGCATGCCCCCTAATCTGAGTCACATAAGTAGTCAGCTTACTTGATGATTCTGCAGGCATGAGCAGTCTCAGACCTGGTGCCTCCTTTTTATACCTTACCACTCCCAGTGTTGCTTCCATGTGAGAGATCTTAGGACAATGTATGAACTGGCTAAGGACCTGAACCACAAAGGCAATGTCTGGCCTGTCACACCTCCTTTTCACTACACCCGCAAGGCGTAAAGGAGTTTTTCCACTTAAAGGACAATCGGAACGGGATTTATCATTAAGATTCAGAGTCGCCACTTGGGAGATTAATGGTGTCCCAAGTCACCGGTTTAGAATCCCGAACCGAGGAAATTATGACTCTGTTAACAGTCCGCGAACCAGAAATCCAGGTAAGGAATTCTGTTAACCCGGGAGAAGGTGTTAGGCATTCCCGGGTTCCGTGGTTCTAGCACGGTCGCTCAACTGTCATATTTGGCTTATTTATTTGATTTTAGTACATGTTTTGGATTTATGTCTTTAGCTTTGAACTGCTTTTATTATTATTGTTTATTTTAAAAGAATTGCAACGTCGTGAAAACATGTCTCGAACCACGTCACATAAATGCACCCGTGGTTTTTGACACATTTTGACTTCGTTGGGATTTGGATTTGGGTCACATAAATGTGCACCCGTATTTAGGAATGTAAAATTATTTAAAGTGCGTACATAAAGAGACTATCGCGTTATTATCTTTGGGGAAGGCCGTGAAATTCGCTAACGGCCTATCCCGAATTCTAAGCATTTTAATATAATGTTTATTGAGGTCCCCGCAATTTGTAGTTTATTCATCGAGGCTCATCTCATTTTATTTTAAAGCCAACCTAAGAGCAACTACAATTATCTATTCAATTTTGACTCTAAAATAAAGGAAAAAGTCCTAATTAATTTGTTATAGAAAAAAAAAACTTCAGTCTGGCGCGTAAACGCTAACAAGTCAAATGTTGTTTCGGACTTGGGTCTAGAAGCCCAATATGTACGCTGGATCAGACCTCTCAACAGTGAGTCTCAGGCAGGCCCAATCCGGGCGATGATGGAACATGCCTTGTTCATGAGGCTAAGGGATCGAATCCCTGAATTAGGAGACCACAATTTGAACATATTACTCCAACTGAATCCAAACCAAACACCCGCTGAAACTAGCACGATATTTCACTCAATTGAACGAGACTATAGCATGTCAGTTTGGCATTCAAAAATTATCTAAATAGACTATCACACCCTTCTGACATTAAAAGGCAAACAATCAATTTACTGTCAAACTTAGATTTATCAATACTATAGCCATTAACTCTGCTAATAACAATACGAGATCCCAGTTGTCAATTACGAAACGACAATAAATTTAAACATGCTAACTTATCAAAACAAATTATCAAAGAATTAAGCTAATAATCAGAAATTAGAAACGATTAGAAACAAGAAATCAGAACCCAACACATAATCAAAATCAGAACAGAATTGGCAAAAATCAAAACGAAAAACTAACCTAAACACTAAAGCCACAGCATCAATTCAAACAAGAAATGATTGAACAAAGAAGAACTAAACTCAAAGCACTTGAATAAAACTATACCTAAACCAATGACAAAATTGCAAAGCAGTTTCATGTTATCAACTAATCATGGAGCAATAGCAAGTATAGAATTATTTTAAAACAACACGAAAAAAAATAAAAAAAACAGAAACAAAATCGAAGAAAACTCACTGATATGATCCTAGGGTTATGCCACCTGGTCGATTCAAAATTTGACCAACCCCGGCGAGATTTGAGAGCTTCTAATGACAGATTTGACATGAGGGAAGTGA